AGAGCTTAATTTTGTGATCACCTTAACTTGCTTTTTATATAGATTTCATAAAAGTGCTCATGCTAATTGATCTGAGTCTGAATGGTTACATGAATGATGCCCCAGCTTTCTTACACTTATTTATGCTTTGTTTATCATTCAAGGCCATAGAAGTTGTCGATCTGGATCAGAAGATTAAAATGGTTCAAGAGCTTGATGGTAGTGTGATGCGTTGTGTACGTGATCAGAATGGCAACCATGTTATCCAAAAGTGTATTGAATGTGTTCCTGAGGAAAGCATTCAATTTATAGTTACAACATTTTTTGATCAAGTTGTTTCCCTTTCCACTCACCCATATGGGTGCCGAGTGATACAGGTTCAGGGATTTTTTGCTTATATTTTAACTTTTGGAACTGTTCTATGTTAAGAATGAGTAATTTGTGTTCTGTATTAATTTTTTTCAACACCTCAGAGAATACTGGAGCACTGCAAGGACCCAAAAACGCAGAGTAAGGTTATGGACGAGATTTTAGGATCTGTTAGCATGTTGGCCCAAGACCAGTATGGCAATTATGTTGTTCAGGTTGTGATTCTTTTCTCTAAAACTTATATTTTGCATATTATAGGATCTGTTGGGGAAAAAGTAATCAACCAAATCTTCTTGAGGGTCTTCACTCCTCTTTCCTTTATATCTATTAATATGCTGTCCATAATTTTTGTGGTATTTGTTGTTTATTTTTACAGTGTATCTTTGAATGTGTTTATTTTTATCGTTAGTTTGGTCTCTATAGTATTCTTATACTGCTCGACGCACGAACTGACCTTTTCATTCACTTAGCAGCACGTACTGGAGCGCGGAAAGCCTCATGAGCGTTCAATTATAATTAAGGAGTTAGCTGGAAAGATTGTCCAGATGAGTCAGCAGAAGTTTGCCTCTAATGTTGTTGAGAAGTGCTTGACTTTTGGTGGTCCTTCTGAACGTCAGTTATTGGTGAATGAAATGCTTGGTTCCACTGATGAGAACGAGCCTCTTCAGGTTTGTCTATTTTTGTGCTGATTTTTTTAAACTTTGAATAGAAATACTTCTGATTTTTAAGTCCTCATGTTTGGAAAAAAAAATCCCAAAAGAACTTCCCCTAGTTTATAAATCATTGGATGAACCATGACTGCCATTGTCTGTGCCTGGTTTAGCTGAGTTTGGTCATCTTGTTCGTGAGAACTATGCATTCATTCATATTTTTGCTGACAGCTGTTTGTCCATCTCAGGCAATGATGAAAGATCAATTTGCGAACTACGTTGTACAGAAAGTACTAGAGACTTGTGACGACCAACAACGTGAGCTGATCCTTTCTCGAATTAAGGTCCATTTAAATGCATTGAAGAAGTACACTTACGGAAAGCATATTGTTGCGCGTGTAGAGAAACTTGTTGCTGCTGGGGGTACTTATTTTTCCTTGTCTTCAATGGTTGCTTATAAGTTTACATACATACATATATATATATATGTACATGTAGAAGTGAATGCTATACTAAGTTTATATATATATGTATATATATGTATACACACACACACACTCACTAAGAAACTCATTTACACCATACATGGATAAAATTCAATATGCCGACACTCTCTGGCAAGTGTTTATAAACAGAGTGAAAATTTTAGTTGCTTATAATTTGTTTTTTCACAAACTGCAATTCAGTTTTCTATTAAAAAAAAAAAAAAAACCTTTTAAAGGACATTTTGATGCTAACCATGGGAGTTTGATGGAGTTTTGAAGTGAGCAGGCATATGGCTCTGTCAAAGCCATGAAAGACATATAGCTCCTATTACTGGATGTTGAACTATATTTACCAAAATTCACCTTTCTTTCTGATCGGTTCGAATTTGATCCCTATTATCATCTTATATTTTCTGTATGTTGAAGCCTTCTAACATGCGAATTTGCACTCTTTTTTCAGAAAGGAGAATTGCTGCTCAGTCTCCACACCCGGTGTAGGAAAGAATGTGTTTGTACAGCTAACAGAAGCCATGAGAGCTTCCCCACTTCCTTTCTTCCCATATCTAGGTCTATGGTTCTACCTCTCTTTTCAGACAGGTAAGAGCTGTACGGAAATAAAAGTTGTTGCGCTTGTATTTGAAACTGTACATTGTGTAGCTTAAGCTTTATACATAGAGTGGAGCAAAGCTGAGGTTCAGCTGTTGAACACAACTGATGCCCCTGCAGAGGAGATAAAAAATGATTATACAAGTTTTTAAGGGTGTAAAAATTTTTAAATGGTGAGGTAGTTCATATCATAACGCGACTGTACAAATGTTGGCTTGTGGAGAGCTGTTGATGTTTAGGTGATGAGGCCACAGTTTTTTTTATCCCTCGATAAATGCTTAATGGCAATTTTCTTTTCTTCCCCTAAATGCACACTATTTTGGAAGTTTGTCTTTCCTTCTTGCCCCTATGATAATTTAAAACACGATACGAACATGATTCAAAAATAAAATATAAAAATGATATAATTTAAAATTTTAATAATAATTATATATAAATTTAATAAAATTAAAAAAAATATTTTATATTTTTGTGATATAAATTATTATATATAATTTTTGTATAAAATGTTATATGAATATATAAATTTTAATATTTCATATTATATAAATGCTCGAATCGGTAGATTTAAGGGAAACTTATATTTTAGGCAATTATTGGGTACAAATCATTTGGAAAAAAATTGAAAATTATCTCTATGTATGTAGCCTGCAACCCAACTCAAAACACTGCAATTCAGAGACTACACGTAGTTACGAAATCATAAATTTAAGTCAATTCAGGACGAAAGAAGGAAGTAGCAATTTTGAGAACTTACCCAAATAGAGAGAGGATGGTTAGAGCAAGAAAGGCAACGAGGAGAAGAGCTTGTATAATTGTTGCCACACCTTCATCTCCAGGAGAGGGCATATCTGCTGGGAATTGCCAAGTGGAGTGGAATCCGACGATAAAACTCTTTCAAGAGTAATAAAAGTTTCCCAGTACATCGTCTCAATTGGGTTGTGAAAATGAATGGCTTGTCTTGGTGTTGTTGATAAGGAATCAAATATGATAATCAAATCGACTTTTCCCTTTTAATTTAATGATTAAGAGATGAATTAAAAATTATATGGACGTAGATTCGATCCTGTCATCCCTCCTCTTTTATAAAGACATTAGTTTTCTTTTGCAACAAAAAAAAAATGATAATCAAATCTTATATTTGATCATCATATATTTATTTTATTTAAATTATATTATGTTATTGTATTAAGAAAAAAATTAATAATTTATTACATATCATATATATATATAAATTTATTAAAATATATTATTTAATTATCATATTTGATTTGTAATAAATGATTAGTTTTTTTGAATATGTGATATTAATTAGAATGAAAAAGACATATTGGTACAGAATTATTGTTTCATACGATGTTTTCATCCGCCTTGGCAAAACCCGCCAACCGGTTTGAGAAAAATCCAAGTGTTGTACTTTATGAGACAAGACAGTTGGCGCCTAGGCTGATTTGGCTAGAAATCCAAGGGCATCGATTATTGCTCAGACCAGTTGCAGACAGCAGTCGGCTCTTTGGCTGATTGGGCTAAAAATTCAAGTGGCTTATTTGAATGAAATTTTTTAAAAAATATTTTAATAATTCTTTTTAATATTTATGTTTATTTATTTCATTTTTAATACATATAAAATTTAAAATTATTATATTATATTTTATGTCAATATCAAATATCAAATATATTATTTATTTAAGTTATATAAAATTTTTCATTACATTATTTTATATATTTTTCATATGTTTAAAATCTCCTATTAAATATAAAATTATTTTATTTTTAAAAGAATACATATTCGAATCATATTCGTTAAAAAAATTATTTTATTTATTCATATTTATTTATTAAAATAATATATTATTTATATTTAATTTATATTCATTCAATTAAATTAAATAAATTTTTTAGTAAATATTACACGAATATGTTCATTAATATATTCATAAATATATATAAATAAATATATTAATGAATAATAAATAAATTATAATTAAATAAATTTAAATAAATAAATCTTAAATAAATATAAATAAATTCAAATAAATATAAATTAACTTCAAAATATGATTAGAATAAAAGATAAAAATATAATTTATTAATATTATGTAAATTAATAATAAATAAATAATAAATAAATGAGTTTTAAATAAATAGTAAATAAATTTATAAAAATTAATAAAATAATTATATTTAATTCATTTAATAAATGAATATATAAATAATATTTAAAATTATTTATTAAATTTAATAAATAAATAAAAATAAATAAAAATCAAATATATTTATGAACGATTTTTCGAATACTCCATTCACCTAAATTCCTAGTTAAAGATATAACATATAAACACATGTATAAGTATCGGTCTCCAAATTTTTTTTCCAACAAAAAAAAAAAAAAATGGTCTCAAAGTGGATAAGCCCAAGGGCTCCACTCATCAGCATCTCATCTCATTTTAAACCTTGTTATTCTCTTACCCATCCTATGATCTTCCACCTCTTTATCTTTCTTGGTTTCCATCATACGGTTCACAACTCCCCATGCTATCCATTCATGATTCTCCCATTTCTGTCCTCCCAGCTGTTCACCAACACCCTCTTCTTCCCTTGGTCAGTCCGCTTTAAGAAAAGGTCCAAGGGCAAAACCGTCTTAAAAAATACCAATTGTCACGTGCCCCGAAATACCCTCAAAAGTGCACCGACTTTGCTTACTGGGCCAACTCTCTTCCAACCCCACCATGTCCATTTCCGTAATAAAATGCCCTCCACAACCGACGATCCAGCGCGACCACTTACTTCCGTATGACACACAAGTAATTTACGTGGCAAACTCTAATTGGAGAAATTTGATATTTTAGTTTGTAGAGATATTTGGCGGATCAAAAATATATGGCTAAGTCGTCCACGTTGGCACTAGCTAGACCGACCTGGAATCAGATATTGCACTTTTTTTCTTCTTCACTTCCTTTTCCTTTCTTTTCCCACGAAAAGTTTCTTTTTTTTTTTTCTTTTTCTTTCCTCCCAAACAGCCCCGATTTTCACGCGGATATCTGAAAATCTCTTAAGTTTTACTCTTTCTGTCCGATCCAAACAACAATATCGGAAAACTCATTCAAAAAATCCCTGATTTGATGGTCAATGAATAAATATGGGAGAAGAAGTGAAGATGAGTGAATTTGAAGCTAAAGGCGGAGACGATGAAGAAGCAACCGCAACCTCCATCGCTGCCGTCGTTGACGAAAGGGTTCTGGAATGGGAGATGGGATTACCGAACTGCGATGATTTAACTCCGTTATCTCAATCCTTAATCCCACCGGAACTCGCCTCCGCTTTCAGTATCTCGCCGGAACCTTGTCGGACCGCTCTCGACGTCAGCCGCGCTTCTCACAGTACGCTCTTTTCCATCCGCTCCATTGGGGTTCACTCCACCACCGATAACAATAACAACAACAATAATAACAATTTTCGTTCTTTTAGTGACTCGATGGTAGTTGAACCGGAAGGGGAGGGCTCGGGGTCGGGTTCCGGTTCCGGATCCGACCCGAAGAAGATGAGGAAGATGGATATTGCGGAGGAAGCGGATTCAGCGGTTAGGACAACGGAGGATTCGGACGATCCATCAGCGAGGACATTGAAACGACCACGTTTAGTGTGGACGCCTCAACTGCACAAAAGATTCGTTGATGTGGTGGCCCATTTAGGGATAAAAAACGCGGTTCCCAAAACGATCATGCAGCTAATGAACGTCGAAGGCTTGACCCGAGAGAACGTGGCCAGTCATTTGCAAAAATATCGGCTTTACTTGAAAAGAATGCAAGGGTTAAGCAACGAAGGCCCATCGGCTTCCGATCAGCTGTTTGCATCAACGCCGGTGCCGCAGAGTCTTCATGAGAGTGTAAACGGCGGCGGAGGAGGAAGTGGTGTTGGTGGTGGTAGTGCGAATGGGAATGGGCATGTGGGGATGGCTATACCGATACCTTATGGGGCACCGATGATGCCGGTACCGATGCCGATGTATGGTCATGTGGTGACGCATCAAGGAGGGTATCATCATCAGAATGGGTATGAAGCGAATTCGTATGGGATGATGCAGCAGAGAGATTGGTCTGGTGGGAATAAATATGGGTCAGTAGCGTCGTATCCCCATCATATGGCTCTCAATGATAATTTAAATTAGCTGGATTTTTGTACAAAGGTCAGTCCTTTTCTTTCTTTTTATCATTTTTATAATATAAGTTTTCATCTTTATTAATTGGTTGACTGTTAGTTATAAACTTGTAATCTAGTTTTTGTTGAAAAGACTGAATTGCTGTTAAGGAACTTCCTTTTGCTAAGAACTGAAATTTAATATGCTAATTTGCGTGAAAATTTTGGTTCTTAGATGTGAAGTAATCTTGATTCTTGACATATACAGTGATATATAATACTGTTGTTCTGGAACTTGCTTGGGTTTTGGGGGATTGGAATGGAATGGAAAGCGGTTGAGTTTAGATTATTTTGTTATTATTGAGAATGGATGAAGACATGATTTAAACAGGATTAAGAAGCAATAATTTCGTATTTTGTACTCATCTCAAAGAAAAGAATCACTTTTGTTTTTAGGTTACTTTATTATGTATACTTGATTATGATTGATGCCTTTTCTGCATACAAAAGAGACATTCTATGCAAAAGGTAAGCATTTCATGTTCACCAGATGAATGGATGCTTTGCTTGGTGGTCTTACCCTCTTTTCTTCTGTGATGTATTGGAGCTTGTACTTTCCTCAGCAGTCAGCACTATCTTTGAGCAACTGTTCAGTGCTTATCTATTTCTCAGCTGTTGTTTCTATGTTTATTTATATTTTTATATATACTTTTTGAATAGAACTGTCTGCTTCATTTACCTTTTGCATTGCAAAATTTATCTAATCTATTTTCTTCTTTTCACCTACATTGCCTTCCATCTTCCTTATCTTTTTTTTTTTTCCCCATTCGTCACATTCATAGTATTAGTTAATGTAGTCCAACTGTTTCGAAACCTTGGTTGAAGTGGTTTTGCTCTAGGTTGCTCTTGATTATGCTGGGGATAACTGATAAAACCATAAGTTCTCCAGTTTCTCAGAAAACTGCTTAGATGGCTTTGATTTAATGTTTCTTATGTTTGCTGCCTGTTGATTTCTTTATCGTATTTATACAGTTTCAATTAAATCATTGCATTACAAAATCAATCATGGATATTATTCTTTTGTAGATTTAGAAAATTTTTATCAACTCGGTGTTCACTTGACTCTCTGAAATGTCTGGATTCTCATGGTTTTTGACAGACAGATGGTTCCTTATGAAGTTCTTTGACCATATTTGAGTGGAGTATTCCAGTTATGAATGAGACTTGAATGAACATGGGCGAGGCAAAGCGATGAAACCTCTCATTGGATTGCTTTCTTGATTTACTTGATAGCGGACAGAAGTTCTCTGCATATTTTACTTCTTCTACCTAGCTTATAGCCAGATAGCAGCAGCAAGTACCCCAACAGTTCCCTCATCCTATTCCTAGTACGTAGATTAGAGCAACTCCCTGAACTACTTTCTTAACTTGTAATTTAATCGGTAATTGCCATTACCTTGTGTATTATTGAATCATTAAACTTTATTTTTGGCCACGAAACTAAAGCTAAGCAAAAGTCCATCATTCATCAGCAATCTTGCTCGTTATTGGATATGACTCTATGACCTTTTCCTGTTTCTTTTTTAGAGAACTTTTTATCCCCTTTCCATTGGCTTGAAGTAATTAGCAGCCAATTGTGCATCCTCACATTATAATTTAAGTCATGTTTGCTTTTCTTCTTCTCAAGTATTCCATATGAATACATACAAAACTTTGAGTTTTGTTGACATATTGGGCATGGTTTGCATCGATTGATTTGCGCAGGTTACTAGTATTTGTCAAAATTTCTGTTCTATTTCTTGCAGGAGGTTTCCCTTGTGGTTCGCTAGTTCTACAGCTTGCTGCCAACTAAGGATAACAAAGGAGCACATGATGTCTGTAGATACACTGCTATTGCTGGAGTAGAACTGCCACATGAGAAAATTGACCGTTCGGTATGGGCAATGGTCTTTCCAAGTTTCAACATGTCACTGCCCAAACATCGGAAAGTTTTAGGTTATCAAGGAAGATATTAACAAATCGATCTCGGGTTCTTGATTCTATTGTTCTATATGCTTTTGTTGGTTTCAGATTTTGAGTACTTTATTCCATTGTATGGGCATCTTTGCACTTATCCAAATGTTTAGAAGATCATTGATTGTCAGCATCGTCTACCCAAAAACAGGCAGCTGGATGCAATAACCAATAAAAACAGGGCATGGATACATTACTTTTTTGGCTCTACTAACCTTGCAATCATTCCTTCATGAGAATGCATGGCATGAATGAGAAGTAAGCCCAAAGCCAAACAGCTGATAATAGAGCTTTACAGGCGAACTTGAGATAATCATGATATAAAGCACGAGGAATACAATCACTCTCATGCAAATACATTACTTTTCTAAGAAATCAGGAACCTTCTATCCAACTGCATCCTAGAAATTTTCTTAGCTTCCTTTTCTTCATCATCTTCTTTAACCTTGCAACATTTCCCCAACTGCCCACATCAGCATATAAATTTGCTAACAGCAGATTGTTTCCCTTGCTACCAGGCTCAAGCTCCCGCAAATGCTTAACTGCTAGTTCAGCAAGATTAATATTCCCGTGGGTCCTACATGCTCCTAATAGTGCTCCCCACACAAATAAATCTGGTTCTATACGCATTGTCTTGATAACATCATAAGCCTCATCAAGTTTTCCTGCACGACCTAAAAGATCTACCAGACAGGCATAATGTTCTAATCTTGGGGTTATCTTGTACTTCTCTTGCATCGAGTTGAATATACTGTTTCCAAGCTCAACCAATCCAGCATGAGCACAAGCAGTGAGGACCGCTGTGAAAGTCAAGTGGTCCAGCTTCCTTCCCTCCTCCACCATTTGTTTGTAAAGCTGAATTGCTTCTTCACAGTATCCATGATTTGCATAAGCGAAAATCATTGAATTCCAAGCAACAGTGCCCTTTTCAGACATTTTATAAAACAGAGTTCTTGCTTCAGATATAAAGCCACACTTAGCATACATATCAACAAGAGCACTCTTCACATAAATATCATCTACAACCCCAATCACCACTGCATATCCCTGAACCTCCTTCCCACACTTGAACTTCACTGCACTCATGCAAGCAGGCAAAAGACTACTAATTGTAGCTGAACTTGGATACAACCCCTGCTTCATCATCTTCTTAAAAGTATCAAAAGCTTCACCATATCGAAAATTCTGCACAAGCCCTGAAATGACAGATGTCCAAGATACCACATCAGGCTCAATCCCAGAAGCCAACATCAATTCAAAAACTTTAGACACCAACAGATATTCACCTTTCTTTGAAAACCCAGCAATCAACGTGTTCCAAGTAACCACATCAGGCTTAACTCCAATCAACTTCATCTCCTCCACCAAACGTAACCCTTCTTCTACAAGCCCCTTTCGAGCATATCCTGAAATAACAGCATTCAAAGCTACCAAATCTTTCTCAAACATTGCATCAAACACTTTTTTCGCCTTTTCAACTTGCCCGCATTTCGAGTACATATCAATAAGAGAACTGGTAACAAAAGCATCATTTTCAAAAGATTTCTTGAGGCACGAGCAATGAATTTTCTTTCCCGTTTCTTCATCCAAAACATGCGCACAAGCTTTCAAGATGCTGGGGATAACATATTTGTTGACTTCAAAACCTTCAGCTTGCATTTCAGAAAAAATATTAATCGCCTCTTGATAATACCCACGTCGAGAGTATGCCCCTATGATGGAAATCCAACGGTGGACATTTGTTTTGGGAATTTTATCGAACAGTTTACGAGCTTCGGATATTTGCCCACACTCCGTGTAAAAAGTTATGAACTTGGATGTCAAATAAGTCAAATGAGCCAACCCATTGATGATTAAGTGCGCGTGGAGCAGTTTTCCTGGTTTCAGCGCTCGATCACGAGCGTATATTTCTATAAGATCGGCGTAAGCATCAGTTGATATTTGATGCGAACGGTGCATGATCAGGAAAATTGTTCACTTGGGGTACCCAAAAATGCTCCGCCGTTGATAACCTGTAAAAGGCCGGAAAATTGAGATGCGATTTAGTCGGCGGCTATGAAGGTCACCTGTTCTCGTTACTATAAAACTTATATAGTTTCATTAGGGGCCCCACTTGGACAGTAATGTCTACAAATTGATGAACAATGCTAGACGTTGATTTTGCTTACTTTGACATTAAGTAGGACCCATCACGGGGTATGCAAAATCTGATTGATATGAGCCGTTTGACCTTCATAATGGCACTGACTTGGATGAACTTAAGTTCCAGGCAATGAAGCAATGCTTCCATTGCCAGTAATCTCCATATGAAATACAACCTTTGTTGAAGTGATGAAACCTATAATTATCACTTAAGACTATTAACTCTGCCTGTAATCATTGATTCCAACTTCATAAACATATGACAATCAGTGCCAAACTCTGAGGTTCTTGAAAATTCTGACAGGCTTTCCTGCTGGCAAGCTGCAAGTTTTCCACTATGGTATAAACAAACAAGAATCTTCCTTGACCTGCAGTGGAGCCCCAGTAGTAGTATATGCAGGGCCTTTTATTTGCATCGTTACTTGCTTCAACTTATGGTACATTTTGCTGATTATTGCGCAAAAAGAATTTGTGTATCTGGTTGCTCACTTCTGTCCAACTAAATCCTGGTTCTTTTCTAACCTCCTTTAGAAGGGGGGAGGTACTTCCATACTTTAAGTCAGAATACAAAGATTGCTAGTTGCCAGTTGCAGTAATTGTAGAAAAGGGCTTTTCTCTGACGGGGAACCTGATAGCAGATAGCAGCCCAAAAAAAAAACTAGTTGCAGATTAGCAGCATAGCGTTAATAATTGTATGTGGTAATTCTTTGTAATCTGAAAGCAAATACAATTTTTTTTCTATTGATTAATAATCTGAAAGAAAATTAGGCCTTTGGAGTTAACTAATTTCCCTCCTATATTCTATGTTTGCTTTTCAAATCAGTAATTGTAATTGTTTGCTACTGAGTGAGATTGTGAGAAGGTAAAAATACTACCAAGTCTGCTTTAGGTAGATATATACTAGGCAAAAAGGGTCTTTGAGAAGTACAGAAAGTCTAATCAAGCACCAACAGTTTCCTTGTGATCCATCTCAATGTTTACAGAACACGATAAAAGTATAACGCACAAGATTAAACAAAATTATTTGAAACAAGAAAGATGATTAAATCGCATACCTAGTTCCATGCATCTCAAAAGATCAAGAACAGTTCTAACAATAACTAGAAACCGAAACGGCCACCCTGTATCAAGCAAAATTAGACCCTAAATCATATTTTAATATCTTTCTCCAAATCGGAAGAAGATTGCACCAGTTCCGGTGTTATGATCAACAGCATACTCGGCTCTCACTAGACCTAGCTTGACACCAACACCATATGATGAACCGTGACCCATTCGCCTGTAGACCTCTGTCGGATTTCCCTTTACATCCTTTGAACTTCCTAGATCATTCCCATGCTCAGCAAACGCGTAAACATGTGTATTCCTTACAGGTATTCTAATCTCAGCTCCAAGCTGCAGGTAACATCAGAAAATGGATTTCAGATAAATTTAGTCATATCATGTAACATAAACTCAAGCACACTTATCATATTTCAATTTATAGCTAATTAACTCTCCTACAGTTTTGTTAGCATTAGACTCCTCATTAGCTTCTATTTTAAAATGAAATACAACATAAATGATGACATTAAAAGATAAAAAAAATATTAGGAAAGGGAAACAGGTATCTGAAATATTATTACCTCAAGAATGTTTCTGGCTGCACCTAACTCACCCATGTTATAACCTCTCACAGAATAGGGGCCCCCAAGAGTAAAAGCATCATAACTTGGAAGGTCGCCCACACAACCTCCGTAATGGCCATGAAGGACTAGAACAGGTGGTGGGGGTTTATTAGCACCTTCTTCCACTTCCTTTAGTTGGAGAAATTGTGTAAGTGTTAATTGGTGGCGGTTAAAGAATGGAAACTTGCTGCCAATCCCAAGTCCTTGGTCCACCTGCATTGAGTAAATAAATGCCAGTAATTAAATAGGAAACAAAATTTTAATCAATATGTAGGTTTATAATACACCACATTGTAAGTAAAAGTAGGAAGTGGTTTACAGTAATAGAAGCACTTGTGAGTAAGCTTAAACTCATGCATTTGAACTATTTCAACAATGAACAAAACAAGATATATCCAACAGCCAGAATAATGAGGTATTATTCTGAATCTGATACATTTAATCCTGTTCATACCATAAGGAATGGCTAAAAAGCCTAAAATGATAAAAAAGATAATGCGAATGGCTTTGTATCTGTCTTGGAATAAATATGATATATTAAGGCCCGGTTACTAGCATGTTTCAAGCAAATGTTATACTATCAATGGTTTCACTTCATTCCCAATATTGAACAGTATCAGCAAAGACAGACTATCCTGGTTCAGTCGAAGATTCACAATGTGAATATATGGGCTAACCTGGAACACATTCCTCTCACCAACTATAGCCCCATTTACAAACTTGGTATTATCACGTGTGATATTTGCCTGTAGAAATGCCATTCGATCAACACCAGTACCACTAAGAGTGGTTGGAGGTCCATCTGCACTGATGCCTCCACTTGGCAGAACTCTTTGACCATTTGGAGAAATATGACTGCTTTCATCACGCGTTGTTATCTCTTCCATCACAAGTCCATAAGTGAATTTACTTTGACGGGTGAAATTCTGCCAGTCTCATATCAATCACAAATGATTCCATGGTACATAAAATCCAAAAATTACTTCATGAACTATATATAGCAGATTACCTCCGTAATGTTAGCTTTAACACCAGCTCGGTCAACCCATATTGGTGGAACTTCATCAACTCCTGGCCCACCAGTGAAAACTGGGCTCAGTTTCCGGCTGTTGAAGCAGCTTGTACGAAAAGTTCGGTTGCGTGGATTATAAACACCATCTAAATATGGATGCACATATTCTAGCTTGAAAGAAAGATCATCCTGAAGAAAAGAATAATAGGAACATCTTAGGATGCAAAATTTACACTACTCACAGGTGAAAACAGTCATTGCAAGAACCATGAGAGAGAAAGCAACATGTATATTTAGGAAAAATTACCTGAGGATTAAAAAAGTTACTGGTAGTCAAGGAACCGAGAATGGATCTGTTAAGCCCATTGAGATTTCGGTGCTCAAAAGAGACAGTTCCACCAGGTTGAAAGGAAGCCTGAACAGAAAACATAGCACAATATGTAAACGATATAAATAAAAAACTTTTAAGTTTGAGCCACAATCTCTTATTATCTACATGCAGAATTGCAGAGCACAAATATATAACCACATTTACATACCAATGTGGGACGCCCCCCACGTCCAGGTACAATACTCCACTCCGTACTGACTTCAGCTGATTTTTGATCCAGCTCTTTGAGCTTTATCTCAACAATGATGCCTCCCTCATTCTTCTCATCAGGTCGTGGGTTCACCTCGATATTTGAAAACAAAGCCAGTGAGTTTATGTTCCTCAGGGCTTGTTTCCCAGCTTCAATATTAAAAACATAGCCTTTTCGAAGCTGTAAATCAAAAGCACAGACATAAATCAACAGCAAGACTGAAACTAGTTACTTAAATCAGCAACCAAAAATACAATAAATGAGAAACTTAATAAATAGGCATAGTTTACAACTCTATAACTAAAGGTATAAACTAACAATTAAACCAAACATTTCAATCAACAAAAGATCACTCATTACTGCTTGAAATGAAGACATATATCTTATCAGAAAATCTATAGTTTATGAGAGCATATTCAAAAGCAGCAAAGTCAGTGCTTGATTTGATATTCACACAATATTTTTTATCTATCTTCTACACTTGATTTGATTTTTCATGTTCCGCTAACTATCGAGTTAATTTTTCTGATAGTTTACAGCTATTTTTGAATGTAAAAAACAATCAAATGTATGCTTCAAGAATTTTATAATTGAACCAAATATCATATCCTACCCTAACTAGCATTGAAGGTAAAAAACTATAACATGAAATATCAGAATTCACAATGTGGCTTTTCGTTAGTTTTGCAGTAACTCAAAAACTACCCACAGACACTCTACACAGAAAAATAGATAATAAAAACCAAGAAACAGCCATCAATCATCTACCTGTCTAGGTAACTCTCTCCTGACAACAGGAAGTTTGGTGTTCCCTTCAACAACATTCCCAAGCTTATCCAGGAACTGAATCACAAGCTGTGTAATATCCCCTTCCACAACCTCACAAAGCACTTCCTTAGTATTCAAGTTCCCAAAATTGACAACCTGAGCACAAGCATACCCTTCATCATGGTACCATTTCTGAACCCTATCCCTTATCTTCTGCAACAACCTAGCACTCACTTGCCCTCGGCTCGTGATCATCTCCAACACTTCCATACGCACTTGCCTTGGCAGCAAACAAGGCCTAGCTTTCGCAATCCTCCTCTGATATTCCTCGTCTTGCTGCCTAAAATACTCCAATTTCTCCCTATCTGTCATATCAGGGTCCATTTCAATAGGCTTGGATTGAGGCATTAGCCCCACATTTATACACCTAAACCTATCAGCTGATTGCCAAGTACTTTCTGTAAAAGAAATGGTTAATCCCAAAGTTCCATCTGGTTTAGTTTTGCACTGCATATCAACTTTCTCAAACATTCCACAAGTGGCTAAAGTTTCAAGCTCTTTTTGTAACTGGGCTTTTGTGTAGATCCCTCCTGGTCTTAACGAAACCATTTCAAAGAATGAATCTTCAGATCGTACCGTGGTCCGGTACTGTCGGTCAAAGAATGAAATATCCGAAAGCTTGTACTTTTTGAACCCACTTAGCTTGTGGAGTTGAACTACTATGTTGGCTGGTAATCCATGAGAATCCCATTCTTGGGTTTGGTTGTTATCGTCCGCAATTGCAGGCGAAGGCGAAAAGATCTTTTCCCAGAAGTTGCCACTTCCATCACCGCCGCCGGAACCAGCTCCACCACCATCACCACCACTAGAGAAGCCACCATTGCCGCCGCCCGCTGCCGCCGAAGTTATCTCCACCGCCTCCAGGGAGACGGGTGGAAATGGGGCTGATGCGGATGAGGAGAGTGGCAGCGGAAGCGGAGGCGAGCACAAAGGGCTTGGAGAAGGAGTGCAGGAAGGAACTGAGCCTTTGCGGCTTAGGGTTTTGAGACGGGAGGTGACATTTGATACTGGTGGAGCGTCGAGAAGCGAGTGAAGAAGAGGAGGAAGAAGGGGGCAGTCGCCGGCTGGTGGTAGAGGAAAGATTGGTGGATGGGTTGAGGAGGTGTAAGGAGGCGGCGTAAGAATGCATCCTCTAAAGGTTTTCTTTTGTGGGTACGGTGTGAAGGGATAAGGGGACGAAGTAATTTCGCGTATACAGTCGATTTCTTATGAGAAATGGGGAGCATTGGGTTTTATCTTTTATGAGAAAGGCTAGTGTGACAAGGGTTTATCAGACGGTAGAGGGTGTTCAGGTCGAGTTACCATTTCTTAGATGGAGCCCTTTGGTTATTGAGACTCGGCGAAATCTACAATGTTATTGGTTGGTAGGAAAGGCAATTTATGTATTTGTACAGTACAAAATATTAAAATTTATATATATTTATTATATTTTATATGAAAATTATATATTATAATTTATATTTTTATAAAAATATAAAATATATTTTTATGATTTTATTAAATTTAATTGTAATTATTATTAAAATTTTAAGTGATATCATCTTCATGTTTTATATTTATATCATATTCGTATTATATTTTAAATTATCAAATTTAATTTTCAAAAAAATGCTAGAGAATTTACCTTTTCTTTTTTTCTTTTAATTTGCAAATATGAGCAAGTTTCCAATGCCGGGGAACACATTTCCATTTGTTATAACTTACAATTCATAAGCATAAATTACATGCACTTTGGAAAAATATTACTTGCTTGTTCAATAATGCTGTCTTTTTTAAATTTATCACGCCTTTATTTTTTTGATAAAAAAGTTGAAGTATGAAAATAAAAAAAAATTATAATTGTTGAAATTTAAAATTTTTACTATTCTGCAAAAATTATCTGAATTAAACTCAAATTTAAATTAAACGTGCCTTTCATCTCTTATCTCAAATAGAATGAGAATGTGCATGGAACTGCCTCATCATTAGACTTAGTAGAAGCAGGACATGATTGCAATGGCTCTTGTCAAATTCCTGTCACATTAGACATGAGGGTAGAGAAGAGGTAGAAGCTTGACTCTTGCCTCGTCAAATTGCTATTTTAGGAAAAGGAAATCAAAGCAATGTTATCCTTGTTTCATTGCCATGTGTACAAGTTGTGCCCACAGACATCTCAGCTGTTCATCAAATTATGAGTCAATTGTTAACTGTCCATGCAAAATCACCGGAGAGTAATGCTGGAATAATGTTCTTTTCTCTTAAATGTCTCTCATTTGGTTGAATCTAAAACGCAAAACTAATTGTGAAATCAGACTTTCAAGATCGGAAGCAATACAAAACTTCAAGACCCCTGATCTGTCAGCAATTGGAGAACATGACTCAACTTGATTCCATGCATAGATATGGCGATTATAATCCTTGAAGTACTACCACTCCAACTGAACAATTTCTTCGAGGTAATCAAGGGCCAAAGTTCTTCAGGATATTTTTTCTGCTCAACAAGTGATTTCTATCGTAGTTTTTTTTTTTTGTTTAAATAACTTGATTTCGATCTTGTACAGTTGGGGATGCTCAAACCAGGTCGCCACGTTCATATTTTTCATCATCCACTAGGAGTCAAGAGGTCCACGATCCTGAAGATGTCCAGCACCATTCCATAAAGATAACCATTCTTGCAAAAGTCAAGGAGAAGGCTCGAAGATGGAGACAAAGTTTCATCAAAAAGAAGAACAGTGAAGGAGATAACACCACACCTTAATGGGGTGTTAGGTTGGAAGATGATGAGGACTACGAAGATGAAGATCCTGAATATCCTGGTGCTCCAAGTATTATCATAAAATCTTTTTATATATCATGAATTTGATAAGTGCTAACATTTTAAGCCTCAAAAGTTTTGACTCGATTTTGCTGATGCTCATGATTCTGACATTATATTTTCAGTGTATGAATCGGAGCTGGCACTTGAGGGATATAAGGAGAATGCAAGGCAGAATCCAAGGGCAGTGCCTGTAATCTCGGAGAAGCATGTTCTGGCAAGCAGTGTCAAAGCTGTTTCTGAACAAGGAAAAAAGAAGCCTACATTAGCTGAAACCGAGGCCAAGAAACATGTACCAGCTAATGCCACGGGAAAAGTTGCAACCCAGAACATTGCTTCGAAGATTCAAGGACTCTTTGTTTCGGCCCCAACAGCTTCAGAAACTGAGAAGCATGGTACTCATGAAGCTGAAAAGTATAATACTCAAGAAACTGACAAGCATACCCTAGAAACTGAAAAACCACTTAGCCCCAGACAGAACAAATGGGATAAAGGTGTTTCAGTGAAAGAGTATATAATGAACAAATTTGAGCCAGGGGAAGATGAGAAAGCACTTTCTCAGGTACTATCAGAGGCAACACGTCCAATGAGAACAACTCCTGGAGATGTGGATGTGATGGAAAAAGTGAAAGGGGCTGTAAACTCTTTGCTCTGTGGAGAGGAACCGGCCCAATCTACAATCAAGCAATCAGATACAAACTCATCTCCACAAGTTCCCATTTCTACCAATGCTCAAGCTGGTAATTTTCTCTTTTTTTCGTATTCAAACAACAGCTATATACTTTCACATTTGGTTTTAGTATTAGAGGAATCAAAATTTAATAAATGGATGCTATATCATATCTAAAATTCTTTCTGGAGTATAGATGCTCTTTCAAAAATTATCAGCAGATTTTATGGTAACAGAGTCAAATGTATATCAGTTGTAGCTCTTTCTGTCCTGTCCTGTTATGGAGGTCAATAGTCCTCATCTTTGGCCTCTGCTAACTTAAATTGATCCTTATTCAGGATATCAATGACTTTTTTCTTTTATCCTGCGTTTATGACAGATGACAGTAAAGGAAGAATACTCCAAACCAACTGAAAGATAAATCTAAACCCTGATGGCGAGACGATTTTCTGGACAGTGTTTCTAATAAATAGTTTCAAGAAATCTGATTTTATGTTTTGTATTCAATATGAAGCATCAACATCATTAACTGTAAATGACCGTACAAATGTTGAAAGTTTGTATCCAAGAATCCTCACCTTCCGAACTACTTCATCTGACTTTTGGTATGTGGTATAACAGTATAAATGAGCATATGACATAATGTGTTGAAGAACGTTACAACTAGTTAGGTCCTGAATCAGTTTCTTAAGATTGCTTGACGTCACCATTCAAGGCAAAAAAAAAAATGGGAACTTAAAAACAGAAAATTCCAAGCCGCCAGTCTGAAGAAAATTCAGGTGCAATAATGTCAACCACCATAATACACCTAGCTCAATATTCAGCTGTGATTCCTTCACAATGTTCTTCACTTTCTTGCTGTCATGAATTTGATAAGATTCCATATGGAAGCCAGTTCATTTCATGCTGAGGCCTCCTTTTCTGAAACTTTGTTCATAATAAAAGCAAAAGAAATTGAAAAGTTTGGCACCATATTTCATCAATCAAAAGTCTTGCTCTTTGGTCACCTATGCGTTAAAATTTGACAAATTCGATAAGTTGATACAAGTAACTGAATCTACATGATTCAGAAATGAAAAAAACTACAAAAAAGGCCAATATATATACCTTAATCAAAAAGTATCATTGTTCTTTTTTGAAAATGAGCAGGGAACGAAAGTTATTGTTCTTTCCATAGATAATCTTTTCATTGGATTCATTGTCCTGTTTTGATGTTACTTTTAAATTCCTTATAGTAGAATGCATCTTGCATTTTCAAAGCAGCCAATATGGCTGTATTCCTTTGAAGTATAGATAATTGAGGAAACAGAAAAACCCACGGCAAGATTCTTAATAAAAATAAACAAGCAATTGCATGTCATCTTCTCTTTTTTTCTTTATTCTCTCAATGGCTGCAGTTCTTAAATCACTCCATCTTCTGATAACATTTTTTTTTATGTTTTTAGAACAGTTTACCTAATCCCAAGAGGAAAACCACTTCATGTTTAATGGCTTTAATGGAGCCAAACTGCATCTAAACGCGATTGCTAAGATTCAACACAATGGTCTATTAGAGCTAAACAACACTTCAAAGGGACAAATTGGCTGCGCTTTCCTCCCATTTCCTCTCAAGTTCAACAAATATTCATCTGGCATCTTTGATTCCCTATCATTTTCAACCAATTTTGTATTTGCCATGGTTAAAGAACTGACCAATCCTAGTGACCATGTATTGCATTCACTATCTCACCTACGATGGAGCTGTAGGAGGCTGTAGCAAACCAGTTCCATGGACTTTATAATTCGCAATGGCCTTTCTTCAAACCATGTGTTTGCTCTAGATCTGGACACAAATCAAAACCCTGAATTTGGAGATATCAATGAAAGCCATGTTGGCATTGATGTAAGTAACTTGAGGTCCTTGGAATCAGCTCCAGCAACATACTTTGCAGAAAATGAAAGAGAAAATAAAAGCTTGGACCTCTTAACTGGAAATCCAGTGCAGCTCTGGATAGATCGTGATGAAGTAGCGAAGCTGCTCAATGAAACACTAGCTCCAATAAAGAGAAACAAGCCTAGTAGACCCTTTTATCAACAAGCATTGATGTTTGTACTGTTCTCTTGGATTCTATGTATGTTCGTTTCTCTTCACCCAACTCGTGAATTGGCTTGTAACCATTATATTCTTGGCTGGAGCTTCTATAAAACTGGGAAAAAGCACAATGCCTAAACTACTCAAACTTCCACTTCCTCCACGAAGAAAATCAAACTCGAAAGCAGATTTAAGAATTATTGTCCCTTCAATAACAGTCATTGGCTCATTGCTTTGCTTGGTACAATCTTTGGCGGTGTATATGACATATGAAGGAAGAAATATGAAGAAACACATGAAGTCTGGGAAAAAGAATATGGTCTTCAAAGATTCTCGACAAGGATCTTCCAACATTACAAAATCCTTGATAAAAATGAATCTGTCGTTTTGAAACATAGTTATTAGCTGCAGTTTAAGAGAAACATCTTTTCACCCTTCTTTCTTTTTATCCCTAAAATGCAAAAATAATTATGTGTTTGACTTGGAGAATTAAAAATTGTGTGAAAAAAATAATTAGCCACTCAAAATGTTCCAAGCCCTGACCAAGCCCTGAGTAATTTCAGTAAGTGACCGTTGCCCATAAGTTCATAACTGTCTTTCGAAAACGTCATTCCATTACTGTGCTTTTCACCCTATTAACTGACCCCATATTTCCCGGTTCCAAAGACAAGGCCTTGATTGACCATTCCCTTCATATCTTCTCCTTGCTCTTTCTCTATTTTTTACCCTTTTTTTTTTTCATATCTCTGCAATTACCTGGATAGATTTTGGAGTATTGAGAGAGATAGAAAAGAGAAAAGGGGGGGATCGTTTCATATCAAGAATGGAGGACGGTGGGAACATATTTGAGAAACAAGATATTGGCATGAGCAAAACCCAAGTAGGGAAATCACCCACCAGGCTACAAAAGCTTGCCCCAGCATCTCTTAAGCTTGATCAGATGAAAGCTGACGCTGCCAGGACCAGCCCTTTTGGGCCTTCTGAAGCTGCAACTCCAATTCCCCTACTGACACCGCTGGCTTTATCACCGAATCCATTTCCAGTGACAAAAGAATTCGTGCTTCCAACCGATGACAAGAAAGCTGCAACACCAGCACCAACAGCAACAGCATTTGGCTGGAAAAATCCAGCTGGGGCAGGATATGTGGAGGCTTCAACTTTGTTCGATTTGTTTCAAAACAAATGTGTTCTTGTCAATAATGCACAGTGATGTTTTTGTTCTGCATCTGCACATCAAATGGTTAACCTTCGTGTTTTTTCAGACCTTATAAGATAGATTTGCTAGTTTTATTCATAAAATGATAGTACCATGATTGATGGTGATCCTTCTCCATAGTCCAAACCGGTGACTTTAATATATTGTACAATGCATTTCCCCACGCTAGCAAACTTTCTTGGGCGATTTATTGTTGCCTATTCTAGGTATTCTTTTGCTTGTCAAGAAATATGATCATGAGATCTGTCTCCCATAGTTGCCGTTGCTGATTTTACACTTGTTTTAACCATCTCAAATATGGGATTCTCTCTATTCATCTCTCCCGTTGCTTTACAATGACAAATTGTTGCCTTGAAAAATCTAATGCGATAAAAACAGAACACTCAAGGACACAAACACTCCATGATCATAACAGGAGAGGCGAATGCTTGTCATATGTTCGAATCATTTTCATTACAAGCAAAGGCGGTATTTCAGCCAAAACCAAACAAAGTGAGAATGATATAAAAGTAAACAAACAATGGGATTCGTAAATTGACCAAATCGTCTAAGTATATAGTATAAATGAAATTAAATATTCCACTGAAGAAATTTTTAAAACTTCATGAAGCATCATCTCAAGCAGTCATCTATTCGACAGCTGAAAAAAGCCCTTCCTTTATCTACAATAAGACAACCATCCAACCCAAGTCTTAAGGAAGGTATTAATATAAAGCATCCCATGCCCTTCCATCAAGCTTGACTCTAATATTAATTAAAGAAAATTTTCGAAACACCCCTTGACTTGTTGATCTTTTTAAAGCAACTGCTATTTGATGGTGAATGGACAATTTTCTAACAAAATGAGAATTCAAATTCACCTGTCGCCTGCAAAAGATAATAGCATTCAGCAAAAAAAGTTTACTAAGGAACGGAAAACATCAAAGAGTAAAAAAATGCCATATATTATTCAGTGACAAGCAAACCTTATTAAAGACAATGTCCTTATTGTTTATACGCAAGATGCCATCCTTCAGTAAGCATTTCCATCGGCTCTTGTGACGAGTCACCTACAAATAAAAGCATATAATGCCATCTTTTATTGTCTACATAGAAGTGATTAGAGTACCAAAACTTGTATAAGTACAAATTACTGAATTGGTTATGGGCAGCATTGATGCATGCTGCAAAAATAGCAAAACCACCTTGTCAAATTGAGCCAAAACTAGATGCTGCGTGTTCAGCTCCTCTCCCTGGTCCACATCATCTTCATTCAATGGCTCATCATCGTCATCATCTCCTGGATCATTTTGAGAAGCAGGGGCAGAAGTGGCAGCCTGAAGGTCTGGCAAAGAAACAACAAAAGCAAGTCAACCAAAAAAAACCAAGGTGCTTAGATAAGAGAGAGAGAGAGAGAGAGAGATAGAGAAGAAAAGGAATAAAATCAAAGTACAATAAGATGCAATCCTCAGTTCAACCATCAGTCAAAGTTACCATTTGGAGCCGGTGTGTTCACTACATTGTAGTCTTCATTGACAACTCCTTGATAATTGTATATCTTCAAGGTGAGAGAAGAAAATCAAAAGGCAACAGCCTGTAAGTTATTGAAATCTCCAATGATCTACATGTGGAACAAAGAGAAAAGGTCCATTCCAAACCATATGCACAAAGTAACACTGTGTTGCAGAACTACACAAAATAAGATGAGAAATTGACCTATGATAGCATATGATACTTACATTGGGAGTAGAAAGCATATCATCATATGGATCGGAAGTTGGTCCATCCAGTTGAGGAATCTTCGAAGATGACCAAGCTAAGTGTTCTAAGATCTTGCCATTTGCAGTGGTTCCTGAATCATTTCTACCCAGGAAATTACGAACTTCAGTTTCCTGAGAGTTTAAAACTATATGATTAAAAAAGATGTATAAAACATGACTAATAAAAACTCATATTCCAACAATGATTCTGGTATAAAAGTACCCTTTGGTTTCAATTAGAATGAAAAAGTTTCCGAATAAATATTCATCAAATTATAGCTCGGAATTTGAACTATTTGCTTTTGCAATTTTATTAAGATAAAAGGTAAGCAAAAAGAAAAGAATGTGGGGACAAAAAAAAAAAAGCTTGTCTGAAGCAGATCCAACA